TTGAAGCAACTGCCATGTGATTGGTTGATTAGATAATTGCATTAATGAGAAATTGAACAGGTGTTCCTAATAATCCTTTAGGTGAGTGTACATGTACAGTACTATAGTAATATGATTTGACATAGTGTTGGTTGGTTGGTTGAACTAGGGTTCAGTAGTTCAGATGGTCATTGCCAACAATAGCATCAGGCTTAGAGAAATATGTGACAAAATAATCGCAGACAATGACATATTTTCAAATACTGATAATGTTAGCATTACGACTATTGCACTAGTGCTGCAGAAACACCAGATCAGGATGAAACAATTATACACTGTCCCATTTCAGATGAACTCTGAGCCTGTTAAGGAACTCAGGTATCAATACGTCCAGGTAAGTCATGGTATCTATGGTGATTCTGAACAGCGAAACACACACAGGCATTTTCTTTTATCTGTTGTGCATAATCCAGTAAGCTATGCCATGTGTGTCTTGTGTTACCTTGTGTACTCTCTAACTACACTGAGTTGTTTACTAATTTACTGTAGAGAGTCATGGAGCTTGAAGCCAGTGAAGATGAACACACAGTTGGGTGAGGCCAGTTTCAACTTGGAAAAAAGATGCCGCTGTGGAAGAAATGTGATTGGGAAGAGGGCAACTGCAAATGTTCCAGGCCAGAGGGGGCTAACATTACCATGTCAGCAGCAATATCTAATGACAGACTGCAGCTGCAGAAGGCCATCATTGGCCCATACAATACAGCACACCTTATTGTTTTTCTTGATGAATTGTATGGAAAACTTTCAGCAGCAAGAGAGAGGCAGAATTTACCAGTATTTGTGATTGTGTGGGACAATGTGGCCTTTCATCATTCCCGCTAACTTACTGAGTTGCTTACTGCCCATCCCAGGATAATGTCATTATTCTTGCCACCATACTCTCCATTGCTCAACCCCATTGAAGATTTTTTTCTGCATGGAGATGGAAAGTATATGACCATCGCCCACATGATCAGATGTCGCTATTAGATGCAATGGCTGCTGGGTGTATGGACATTCATGTGGAGGACATCCAGAGCTGGATTAGGCACTCAAAGAGATTTTTTCCCTCGGTGTATTGCAAGAGAAAATGTTTGGTGTGATGTCGATGAAAATTTATGGTCAAATGCAGAGGACCAAATGGATTAGGCCAGGTCAACAGTATACTTGACTGAATATAGTGAACGTTTACTATTTGGCATTTTTTGGTTTTTGTTTTTTTTTTGTATTGAATGTAATGCCGAATGAACTAGTATTGTGCAGAGGCGAGCGCACAGAGAGGATGTGTTTTCTGCTTGCGAGAGCATGTATGCATGGTTTTTATGTGCCTGAGTTTTGAGACTAATTGAACGCCATAGATAAATCTTCTGTTTTGTAATGCAATGTTTATGACAAATGAGGCATTGTAGACTGTGTGACTGTTTTCAGAAAGTGACTTCAGTATTGCATAATTTATCATAGCAATTAAAAAAAACTGTCTGGAATCTGCTACCAACCATCCTCAAACAGCCCTAAGGAGGTCCAAGCTGGATTTGAGGACCATGTACAACCTGGAGAGAATCCAAATGCCAAAGTCAGATGAGAACACACAAGTCCTGGTGGTGGTCGGTCAGCTTGCAAATGTTTGTGCCTCTCCCTGCCTTACCATCTACCTTGTAGGTCACTCACCACTTGGTTGGCACCAAGTTCAAATAGTATAGGATTCCCAAGGACATATAGTCAGGTTGCAGCCTATAGAGCAACGGCAGGGCTGAGCGCACCATTCAAGTGCTGAGTTGGTACCTCCAAGCCTCTCACTACCATCAGCACGACTAGACCAAGTGTCTCTGGTGGGTCCAGAATTCCTTATAAGATTTAACCCATTCAGGTGTATGCTGGGATTTCAACCACTGCCATGGATAGCTGGTTCAGTCACTTGGCTGAAGTGCCCACACAAACATCAACAGGGTCCTTCACCATTTCCACACCCAGGTGGAGCTCCAGCACAGGGCAGCTCCTGTGTACAAGCCAGGTAATCGGGTCTGGCTTTTCAACAGGGACTTCTTCCTTAAACACCATGCCTCAAGCTGTCTCTCCTGGTTTGTTGGTTCCTTCTGTGTGCTGTCAGAAGTGAACCCTGTCTTGTATTGGTTAGACCTACCTCCCCAGTATTGTGTCTCCCCTACTTTCAATGTTTCCATCAGACTGGTGATACAGGTGGTTACTTGATAATATGTATTGCACAAAGTACTTGTTAGACTCTTATCATACTTAAAATTTTAAACGTACATTTATTTATTTAGGAGATGCTTTTATTCAAAATGACAAAATTCAGAAAGCACAGTTAGCCAGAGCAATTGGCATTAAGAGCCTTGAAAAAGGTATTAGTGGTGAATTCACACTGCTGACTATGGGATTTGAACTGGTGGCTTACTGGTGTTCGACAGAGGCCATAACATGACATATATTGCCAAAAGAAGCAGAGAGAAACAGGTGCACAATGATTCTATAGAGGATATACACACAATATGCAAAGTAGGCAGAAGTCACTGCTGTTACACCTACTGAGTGCCAAAAAAAATGCATGGTAGCATTAGTGTTAAGCTTGAATGCTGCAAAACCACATTTAACCCTATAGCGCCATATGTATCATATTTGATACAAAT